GGATCCGCCATCTTGTTTGTTCCTTCATTCTCACTGACATTCTTTAACTTCTGGTTTCAGGGTGTCAAGGAGCTGTGCTTGCTGCTTCTTAACCAGTCCCTCCTACTCCCATCCCTGAAACTGCTCCTTGAAAGCCAAGATGAGACTCTGCATGCTCTGGCACTGGAGCACATCACAGCTGTTGCTAAGGTATGTCCATTTGAATTTACTGTTGTTTACTCTTCAAAGAAATGAATTTGCGTTTTCATTCTCAAACATATAATCACTGTTGTTTACTGTAAACTACTTTATTTGAAGTATTCTAAGACCACAGTAGCTTTTACTGTTGTGTCTAAGAAGTATGTATTTCCTTATTTCACAAATACTAAGCTCCTTCCATGAGCCAGACTCTGTGTTTGGGTGCTAAGAATATAAAACCAAATAGCAAAATAGTTTCTCTAAAGAAACAATATGTGAATATATCTGTAAGAAAATATCAAAGAATCCAGACTACTCAATGAATTTTTTCTAGTAAGACTAGTTTTCTTACAACTGGGAATTTGTATCTAGGCTATTCCTACATCATGTGAGTTTTTCTTTCCTCATTGTGTGTGTTTGGTTATCTATCTACTAAGGTGATACAGTGGCTTGAAGTAGTGTTTACTGGTACCATCTTAAGTCTCATAATCGTATTTTCTCTGACAATGGAAACTATCATTCACAGCGTCTTCTTGCCTTGAGGAATGGTGTGCAAGTTAAAACTGTCTTGAATTGTTAGTTGTCTTGTTACCAGAAAGAAATTTTAATTATTATTATTTTTTTAAACTTTACATAGTAGAATTAGGCTGTGCATGAGTTTTATTTTAAGGAATTCATGTTCTGTGATTCTTACTGAAAACCTGTGGGGAGATCATTCCTTTGAATTCTGTTTGTGTGTGAATGTGTGTACATACACATTGTACACACACACAGATACGATATGTAGGCCTAGGTGACAGAAATGGTAAAGCACTCAATCTTCACAGAGACCCTTAAGATGAAAGGCCTGAGGATCTACATCTGACACATCACAGTCCCTGAAAACCCTTTGGGACACAGTTTTCCTCTGAATCAGAATCCATGTGCAAATCACTTACACTTCAACTAAGTGAATTAGCATTTGTGTATATATGAGGCTCATGTTCATTGTCAAAAAGAACATGTCAAGATTATCTTGTGTGCCGTCTGTGATAGGATAATACCCAAGGAAGAGCAGTGACTAGAGGTATACAATGTATTCACATTGTACAATAACAACTAAAGCCACGGATAATGAAATTGAAAAATTCTACCAAATTCTTCAGTATTGATTGATCAAGACATGCAGTAAACATGCAGTGATAATTACTAGTAATTGAAATGTAAAGACTGCGAAGAAAGAGGAAGGATCCGTGGTTGGAATATGACTATAGCCTAGGCGATCAAAATAGACATCATGACAGAATTTTTCAAGACCAATAGCTTATTCACTGCAAATGCATTTTTAAAACAACCTAAAATGTGACTATACATATGGACCTCATCATACAGAACATAGGAACCAAATTGACTGCAGCTTTAAGAAGAGATGGTGGAGAAGCTCCATGTCATTAGCTAATATCAGGCCAGGGGCAGACTGTGAAACAGACCACCAATTACCCATGTGCAACTTCAGGCTGAAGCTAAATAAAATGAGAACAAGTTCACGAGAGCCAAAATATGCCCTTGAACATACCCCACCTGAATTCAGAGATTATCTGAAGAACAGATTTGATGAATGAGACACTAATAACCCAAGACCAGAAGAATTGCAGGATGACATCAAATAGTAAAAAAGTAAAAGGTCATTAAGACGATAAGAAAGAATAAAAAGACCAAAATGTATGTCAGAAGAGACTTTGAAATTGCACTCCAGGTTAGGGATGTTAAACCTAATGGAACAAATCAAGTAAAAGAGCTGAACAGAAAATTTCAAAGGGTAGCTCCAGAAGCCAAAGTCAAATATTATAATGAAATATGCAAAGACCTGAAGTTAGAAAACCAAAAGGGAAGAACCCACTCAGCATTTTTCAAGCTGAAATGATTGAAGAACAAATTCAAGCCTTGATTTTTGTAATGTTGAAAGATTCTATGGGCTGTGTATTGAAGTATTGAATGATGCAGACAGCATCAAAAGAAGATGGAAGGAATACACAGAGCCACTGTACCAAAAAGCAATGGTCAGCGTTCACCCATTTCAAGAGGTGGCATCTGGAAGAAATCCAAGTTGCACTGAAGACATTGGTGAAAAGCCAGGCTACAATAACTGAACCTTTCAGCAGACTGATGCTGTCAGTGCAAGAGGCACTCAATCATCTATGCAAAGCAATTTGGAAGACAGCTACTTGGCCAGCCAATTAGGAGAGAGTCACATTTGTGCCCATTCCAAAGAGAGATGTAGTAATCATCAGACAATATTATTAATATCACATGAAAATAAAATTTTACTGAAAATAATTCAGAAACAGCTGCATTAATCCATCAACAGGGAATTTCCAATTTCCAAATATTCAAACCAGATTCAGAAGAGGATGTGGAACAATGAATATCATTGCTAATGTCAGAGAAATCATGACTGAAAGCAGAAAATACCAGAAAGATGTGTGCTTATGCAAAGGCTTTAAACTTTGTGGGTCATGACAAACTGGATAACATTGCGAATAAGGGGTATTCCAGAACACTGAATTGTGCTCATGAGGAACAAGTACATAGACCAAAATTCAGCTTTTCAGACTGAACAAGGAAATACTAAATGGTTTAAAATCAGAAAGGGTATGTACCAGGTTGTATTCTTTCACGATACAGCAACAGCATGCAGATTGAATAAGTTTTTCAAAAAAAAAAACGAATCATGTGAAGAAGTTTAGAGGAAGATGTATTAACAACCTGCGATAGATGACACAGCTTTGCTTGCTGGGAGCAATGAGGACTTAAAATGCTTACTGATGAAGATCAAAGTCTGCAGCCTTCATCAATATAAAGAAAACAAAAATCCTCGCCACTGGACCAATAAATAACATCATGATAAATGGAGAAAAGATTGAAGTTGTCAAAGACTTCAATTTACTTGGACTCACAGTCAATGCACATGAAAGTAGCAATCAAGAATCAAACAACATATTGCATTAGGCATATCTCCTGCACAAACTCTCTTTAATATATCCAATAGAAAGTTATCAGTTGAGAACTAGGATGGATGCACCTGACCCAAGCCATGCTATTTCCAGTCACCTCATATGCGCGTGAAAGTTGGCTAATGAAAAGAAGACCATAGATGCATTTGAGTTGTGGTGTTGGAGGAGAATATTAAAAGTACAATGGACTGCCAGAACAACAAACAAATCTGTGTTGGAAGAAGTACAGTCAGAATGCTCCTTAAAAGCCAGGATGGCAAGTTCTCATACTTAGAACATGTTATCAAGAGGGACTAGTCCCTGGAGACCATGCTTGTTAAAGTGGATAGTCAGCGAAAAAGAAGTAGACTCCTAACAAGATGCATTGGCATAGTGGCAACAGCAGTAGGTTCAGGCACAAGACTAGCCAGTGTTTTGTTCTGTTGTGCATCTGGTCACTATGTGAGGATGGCACAAGACTAGCCAGTGTTTTGTTCTGTTGTGCATCT